CTATATGGGGTGCCAGGGATTAAGTTCAGTTTGACCAAAGGTAAAGTAATTGCCCTACCCGATATATTGTCACTCTGGCTCCAGTTCACATTTTCTTCATCCATTTATCCATTGACAGATATTTGCACTGTTTTCATGTCTTAGCTGTTGTAAATAATGATGCACTAAACTTGGGAGTCAGGTTTTACATCAAGAACATCTTGCTGCCGTTAACATTGGGTAGATAACCAGGAGTAGAGCTGCTGGATCATATGGAAGTTCTACTTTTGATTTTTGAGGATTTTTTTCAGGTACTTTCACTCTGTTTTCCAGAGTGACTTCACCAGTTGATATTGCCACATACAGTGTTCAGGGTTCCCCTTTCTCTCTATTACCCAATACTTGTAACTATCTACTTACAGAGCACAACCCTCATTTAGGTACCATGCCAGGCACACTCTCTGCCCCTGGAAACTCTTTGACAGGAAATTCTTGCCCACCCTCTGTCCTGCTCATCTTCCTGTAGTTCATCTCCATCAGCGACCTCTGTGATACTTTACAGAGATCAGAATTCTCTGCAAACACTCCTGCTCCTCCCCCAGACCACTTAGAAAAATATTAAATAATACCAGTCATAATACCAGTGCTTGGGGAATCCTCTGTTTCCTAATTTCCACAGAAACGTGTCTTTTTCTGTCTCTGAGTCAGTTCTGTCTCCATGGCCAAACTGCCCAGAGTCCCACGGAGACTCATTATTTTTAAATACCTTTTCATGTGGAACCTTGTCAAAAGCTTTTAGAAAACCTAAATAGCTAAGCGGCAGGCACCAAGCTAGGAATCGGGCAACTTGGGTCTTGCTCTCGACTGTCATCAGTTTGTCATTGAACTTTGGGCAAGGTACAGACATTCCTCATCTCCATTTTTTCTTCATTCAATGAGAATGATGACGTCAGTTCTCCACCTCATGCAGAGTTTTGCAGAGACCAGAGAAGACAATAGTATTGAAGTTTGCAAGGTCTAATACAGAAGTACAAAGGGGAATTGTTTTGAGACATTACGGTAGCATTCTTCTATTCACACACACACACACACACACACACACACACACACATACACACACACACATCTATCACCATACCCACTTCCTACCCCCAAATAATTGCAGTTAATAGAGATGTAGCTCACCTAGCATGCTTTGGTGAGGTCTAATTTGTATGTTTAGTTTTTGGAGGAATGAGTGTTTAGTTAACCAAATGGACCTGATTGAACATGGGTTGATATAATTGTAAATGCACAGAGGTACAGATTCTGGAAATTGTCAGGTTTAGTGAAGGTTAAGGTCAGGGTGGGCTTGGGTGAGTGATCTTGAACAAGTCATGAAACCTCTATGTGCCTCACTGGTCTCATCTCCATGCTTCCTTCATGGGATGTCAGGATAAAATCAACACTGTAGGATGCCTAGTATCAGACCCTTCACCAGGGGCCATTCAGCCCTGAGAAGAGCTTGCTGCTCTTGCTTATGTAAGCATAACTATATTCTCTGATGCCCCATCATTCTGCAAATCCTACCATAAACTCTTCTAATCCATGGCTGGTGCAAGATTATGCAGATAGACAAATGGATATTTTCCTATCTATTATGTTTTAAAGTAAGGAGTGGACTGAGTGGGGCCATGGACAGAGAGACCCACAACTCCTGTTCCAATTTTTCCCCTTTGGAAGAGTTATCGAAGGGACTGGGGTATAACCTTAGCCCTCCTGCCTTGGCCAGGCCAGGCTTACATAAGCTCTCCCTGTTGGTGCTCTGTTCCATTGATTTCTGTTCACTTGGTGTCCTCTGATGGCCACCTATACCCTCCCCACGCCCATCTTTCCAAAGAACAGGGCAGTTTGAATCGATTATTAAAAAGATTGCTGGGACACTGGGTCCAATTTCCCTAGGGACTCAGTTCTCAGGAACCCTGGAGAGGGCTCAGTTCCGCCAGCATTCTCAAGGGAGCCTGCATCTGCGGTGGCCCGAGAGGGCTGGAGATCAGCCAGGATGTTTAGTATCACTCGCTTCTGCTGCTGCTGTTGCTACAGGGACAAGTCACAGCCAAGATGAAGTCTGGCTGGGCTGAGGGCCAAGGCCATCACTGCACAGTCAGACTTGGGTGATAATCCCAATTGGTTTTGCATGAACTCCCACTTCATTCAGATTAAGGACAGGCCTGGTCCGGGTGGACATCTGGTGTCTTGAGGGTAGGCCCCAAAGCAGGAAGTCTATGGGAATCTGCAGCATTCGGATATTCAGGGATATGCATCTCTCTCCTTCATTCAGTTTCTACAATGGTTTTGCTCTTGCTGCTTTTCATGAACTTAATGAGAAATCAACAAAGTTTAAGCTTCATTTATTTATTTTTTAACTCATTTTAAAACTAAGTCTTTGTCAAGCTCAAGTGCTTTGGTTTCAAATCCAGAAATGACTGCCCGAAGCACTTGGCTTTGCTCTGACCACAGGCAGATCTTACCTCTCACACACCCCACCACCTTTGCTATGTGGCTTCATACCCCTCTGCAGGCGGGAAACATGAATCCCTGCACACTCCCCTCCTCAAGGGACAGGGTATCATGTTGAACTGGAACAGAAGGAAAAAGTATGAACTTAAGAGTCAAACTGGATTCTAATTCAGTCTCCAATTTTATGACTCAGACCAGGTATTCAGTGGACCAGAGGCTCGTTTTTTTCTCTTCTGTTATATGAGCATATCACTTAGAACTTTTGATGTTGTGAGAAAAATCATTTTTATTACTTTTATAAAAAGGAGTTAGCTTGAGTGATTAGAAAATTTCCAACATGGAAGGCTTTGGGGTAATTTTGATGCAGTGACTCAGTAACATCCCCCAAATTTGCTTTTTTCATCTTTATACCTGACCTTCTTAGTTTCGGCTCTAATCTTCATTAGAAGAAGGTGATTCTTGAGCTTCATATCCTTGACCTGGATAAAGGTCAAGACTCTCCCCATCACAGTGCACAGCCACTGCTTTATTCATACTGTTCAGATTGATTCACTTGGAATTGCTTCATCTCCATCACTATGGAAATAGTGAGAATAAGCTGATTTGCTTATGCCTCTCATGCTTCCCCCCTTCCCCAGAATGCAGGGGTGGTTCCAGTCCCAACCACAAGATGATAGAGGATGGAATATATGCCAGAAGAACCAGAGAATTCATGACAAATAAAAACTTGAGCCCATAGGTTTGAGAAGATTGGATCAATAAGAAATTGTGTGCAAGGCCATTATTCAGTTCCTAACATCCAGGAAGTTTAAGTTTAAGGAAGGACTTTAAAGTGATGCTTAAGGGTCTGGAGAGAGAGCTCAGAGTATAGGGTACTTGCTGTATCACAAGGTGGGTTTGATTCCCAGCACCTCATATGGTTCTGTGTGCACCAGTAGGACTGATTCATGAGCACAGAACAAGGAGTTAACCCTGAGCATAGCCAGGTATTGCCTAAAGACCGAAAAAGGAAAATAAAATAAAAAGATGCTTAAAAGGAAACCAGTAGAAACTGAAACAAACCCAACATCAAACACATAAATCACCAATGACCCAAGTGCAGGTTTAGCGGATACAACAAAAACACATAGCAACTGAGTTTCTGGTGAATTAATGGTTGCAGTTCATAGTGATATAATGCACCTTATAAAATTTAGATCCTCTGAATAACTCTTGAGTTCTCCTTGATATTAGGTAAGGTAAAAGGTAAAGGCCCTCCCGTTGATCGTCGATTTGCTCGAGCGGGCCCAGTAACGTCTCCATTGGAGACTTTGTTGTTACTGTGTCTGGCATATCGAATACTCTCGGTAGCTTGCCGGGCTCTCCGAGAGGGGCGGAGGAATTGAACTCGGGTCAGCCATGTTGGCCGCTTGTAAGGCGAACGCCCTACCCGCTGTGCTAAACTTTAAAAAATTAATTATGAAAAAATACTAAAACAAAAGTACAGACTGGGACTATTTGGACTATAACTTTTTCTTTAGGTTTGTTATTGAAATTACTATACTTATAGTATGATGCCAGGCAGCCTTATAAAATGGCATCTAATTAAATTAGGTGGCCCCTTAGCAACTGCTTTTTTGGCTATTCTTCCTCCGTTCTTGATGATAGAGGGTCCCGACTCATGGGGAGGAGGGCAGCATTATTACCTTAGACAGTGACTGTTCTCTCTCTGACTTAGACACATGATGTTTCTAGAGACCCAGGCCAGCACCCAGGACAGGAGCAGTCTTGGGAGGGGGTAGAAGCACCCGATATTCAGAACATCCTCCTCAGTCATGGGAGTTGGGGACAGAAGTCTTTTCCGGTTGTCTGCATGTTGTCCGTGCAGTTCTAGAAAGGACTGTGGACAGCCTGGGATGATGTGCTTTGAAGTGTGTTCTCGGAAGTCTAAGGATGAGTCATGCCCACGTGCTTTTCTGAAATGGCCACACTCACCACCCCCAGGAACATGAACAGGATCTCTGGGAGGGTTGGCACCTGAGTTTTTTTTTTTTACCAAACCCTGAGATGTGAGCATGGGACTTAATGGCTCACCAGGTGAGCCCACCTGGTGGGACTCTATGGGGTTGGCATCTGCCTGTTTCCCCAGGATGCTACTGTCTTAGCTGGGTAGAAGTTCCATAGAATAGTCCCATATCTTTCCACCTCATTCCTATTCTGCTAACAGTATTGCCTTTCTGTTACAGAATGGTAGTCTGATCTGAACTATTCCCCAATTCCCAGACCCTCTCCCCAATCAACAGCCCCGTCCTCTTCTCCTGAGCATAGGAAGGAAGAGACGTGGCTGCAAGTCCCGAGGAAATCTTGCTAGTCTCTCCCAACTCCCCTTTCTTTGCATTCCCTCGCATGGGATCTAGGCTGGATGTATGGCACACTTGCTCAGTTGACCCAGACCTTGGGTCCCACGGTGGCAGAACTGCCCTCAGGTCGAAGCTGCACAAGATGTAAACTCACCTCAGCTCTCCATTTCCTTCCCTCCACAGATTCGTGTAGATGGGCCCAGGGGCAACGCTCTCCAGTATGAGACGGTGCAGGTGGTGGAGCCAGGCCCTGTCCTCCGGGATATGGCTTTCTCCAAGGACCACGAGCAGCTATACATCATGTCAGAAAGGCAGGTAAGACGTGTTGGGTTGTTAGATATTTGTCTTGCAGCTAAGTACTAGCCTGTGGCCCAGTAGCAGCCTACTACGAAAGAGCAGCTGCAGGGAGGGGATTTGATTCATTTGACTCAGTCTGTCGCTCCTTGGTGGTGCTGCTGCCTGGGGACGGAGGCCGAACATTATTGGAACAGGGACTGAAAATGTGTAAAATATCAAAATACCTGAGAGTCGAGAGCAAATCCACCAACTTCAAAATGACAGTGTATATGGGCTTAGAGTCCGAGTTTGCTCTTTTGAAGAAACATACTACAGAGGACCAAGATTTTCATGTTGATTCTTATTTTCCTCTCACAAAGTATAATCTGCAATCTAATCTTTCTTCCTAGAATCCGGAGGTCTACTATGGGTCAAGAGGTGTAGCCAAAAACACAAGGTTTCTGGTTGAGGGAACATCATAAATGAAATCAACAGATTAAGCACTGAAAGCAGGGACTCTGGTGAGATATGATGATGAACTGGATGAGACATCCTGAGCTTTCTTGTGTAGTTACAGTTTTCATGTGACGTCTCCAGAAAATTCCATGAGACTCAGCCAGGCAGAAGTAAGAGATCTAGGGCTGGGATGACGGGCCTGATGCAGGTCAGGAAGCAAAAGAGAATTGAAGAAGTTCTCAGGAGTCCCTGAGTCCCGCTCAGGAGTCATACATCTGCTGCAAGCAAAGGAATACATTCTGCCTTAGAAATCCCATCTATTCAATGATATGTTCTGTAGAGACCAAATTCACCGCTGAGTGCTTCATCGCACAATGTCTCTGCCCTGTTCCTTCCACGCAGGCTGGGTCATTCCTAGGAGCGCTCCTCCACCCATGAATATGGATTTGTCAGAGGCTCCCCCTCCTATTCATTCTTCCTTGTAGGGCCTCCACTTTCCGAGAGGACCTTGTTGACAGAGTCTGGATTGTTCTGCATGCCCCCTTGGCACTTAGTGGGGGAGATGAATATTGCATTATGCCACCCACAGGTCTTTGGCATGAGACCTTGGCAGCCTGTTCTCCCCAGAGCCTGATGACATCTTCTCCTGGTTGGGACTCTTCATTCAATCACACTCTACTCCATTGTAGGATCTTGTTGGAGTTACTGTGACTTGAGAAAGTGCTCTGCTACAGCATCAGAGTGGGCTATGAGGCTGCTATGATTTCCAAGGAGCGTCTCTCTTTGCCCCCTGACTAACTCTGGGGTACTAAACACACCCTAGGGGAAGCAGCACTTTCCCTTGGTGGAAGGAATTCTTTGGAAGAAGATGAGGTTTCCACCAAGCATTGAATATGTTAGGGGTTCAGGTAGGAGTTGGAAACCAAAAGTTTTGAACCTGGGTCTTAAAAAGATCTAAGGATTCTCAAAGAAGAGATTCTAAGTTGAGTGAAATTCCTCAAAACCAATTTCCTCTGATGAGTTGGATTTTTTAGCTTTGCTTCTTTGAATGCTACCCATGACATATTCCATATGCCAAACACAGTAACAACAAGTCTCACAATGGAGACGTTACTGGGCCCACTCGAGCAAATCAATGAATAATGGGAGGATAGTGCTACAGTGCTTCTTTGAATGAGGAACCTATCTGAATCCTGATTTTCTCTGTATCCTTGGCTAGTCCACTAATCCGTACCCACTCAGACTAGCAGTGAGGCATGATGTGAGTTTTAGATTCGGAGGAGAAAGGAGTAGAAAGGAATCAAGGGAACTGGTCTTTCATTGGTTTGCAGACATTACTTCTCATAGAGTTGGAGGCTTTCACAGTCTCGGCTGAGGTCCTAGAGAGTTGCACTAGCACTGATATCCAAGAACCCTGCAGGGTTTTGTGGGAATATATAGCACTGTGTGGGGTACAAAAGCCCTGGGATCATAGCTTCTGAGCAGCAAACTTGGTTCTACCATTCACTAAAGTGATTGTAGTAGTATTTCAACCACTTTGATTCCACATTCTCCACCATCACATGGAGTAGTAATAATATTTGCTGCTGTTGTTCCAGAGATCAAATGACATAATATATGGAATAAGTTGTTTGAACCAAGTCTGGCACAGAATGAGAGCTTGACACATAGCCCTCATTGACACATAGAGGCTCTTGTGCTTACAAGATTGCAACAAAAGTGTCTGGATACTGGTCATGTTTGGAGGCAGGGGATGGTAGATTCAAGATTCTAGATGATATGTCAGGTATGGAGTGCAGATGTCTGGATCAAGGCCCGGGAAAACAAGGATCCAGTCCTAGTTGAGGGTAGATAAAGAATGCATGGCTTGTGGTACTGATGGAACATGCCAAGGAGAGTTGGGACAAGAGCACTGGGATAAGTATAGGGAAGGAGATGCTTGACCCAGACATCTGTCCCCATCAGCATGTGGGCCAAACTGAGCCCTGATGGGTGACTTCTTTGCAGGACTGAATCTGAAGCCTGAGAGTATATGCTTGGTAATTGTATCTGGTCTCCTTGGAAAGTATATCGTTACTCTGCTTACTGTTCCCTTGTCCTTCAAAATGTGGCTGTGTTAGTGCATTTGCCAATTTCCTTCTGACCCAAGTTACACTATCCTCTCTGGGCTCTTTTTCACTATGATGATACCTTCATTGCTTTTTTTGGTCCCAGACTCTCCTTAGCTTAAGGCAGTTCTACATTGTTTTTGTCTGTCTAAATCTTATCAAATAAGTCCCTGATAATTACAAATATGATAATGATATGGATGGGCAGATGGATGAATCCCTAGTGTCTTCATTGAACCAAAATTGGACAAAAGAAAGGCTGATACAAATGATCTGCTACTTACACTAATCTCTAAGCTTGGACTTAAATAATTAAAAGACCACACATTGATAAAGTAGCTCCGAAACTTCAGTAATACGTTTATCTTTGCCATGACTTTTTTCCTTTTCTAAAACATTTTAGTGAGTGATGTGTTTTTATTCAAATAAACTCACTGTTTAAATTTAGCCTACTTTGGCTTTCTGTTAGTGATAGTATAAATTTGAGCTATAAATTTGCTAGTCGTATATAATATTCCTAACACCTACAAGAAAATTCAGGGCTATTATAATTTTTGACAATCTATGTCCATACCTATACAAATCTTGTGCACTGCCCTTGCTTTGAGAACCACCAACAATTTGGCCTGAGTTCAGGTTTTGAGATCTAAAGATTTGACTTCAAAACCCAGACCTCCCTCACTGGATGTATGACCTTGAACAAGTCATTCAGCTTCTCATTTCCTCATTTGCAAAATGAGGAGAAGGAAAAATCTGCTTTAGTTGCAGAACTTGAATAATGCAAAAGAAACATCTGGTTATCTTCACACTCTTTGTTTCCCTTACATGAGGTGAAAACTTAATTTTTTTCTAAAGGATGTATGTTCATGAGATTAAGTTCCAATGAATTAATCCTGGGGACAACAGAGGGTTTTTTTTTCTGCATAGGATCATATTGTCTAACTTTGGGGTTTATAGGTCCTATGGTTTCTTTTGTCACTACCCAACTCTGCCGTTGTAATGTCAAAGTGCCATAGACTAGCATTTCTCAACCAGGGGCCACCTGGCCCTCTGTGGTATCCAGGATACTCCAATGGGGTCACAAGTGAAAATTATATAAGTAGGGGGCCATGGTGTGAGACTAAGGATCAAGTGGTAAGATGGGAGGGCCACAGTGACAGAAATGTTGAGAAACATTGACATGGAAAATATGTCAACAGTTAATCATGCTGGTTCTACAAAACTTTATTTGCAAAAAAATGGAAGTGGGTAGTTGTTTTCTGAGTTAGTTTCCCACTGCAAACATGCCTCACACTGTCCAGGGAGAGTCTGGTGTGGTGACTGCACACACATCATCACTCTGGCCCTGCTACAGCCCTTTTTTGTTCAATAGCATCCAACATTCACTGAGCAGCTGCTGTGAGTCGGGCACTTCCTGGGCACTAGAGAATCCATGGAGAACAAGAGAGTCTGTCTCTGCCCTAGAAGCCCTTGCATTGTGGGAAGAGAAGCAGACAGGGACTTGGTGAATCAAGAAGTGACAGGTCATGGTAAAGGTGAGGGCAGGTAATCCAGGAGGAGGAGTATTGGAGGGGGGGTTTGGGGGATGCTTCTGGAAAAGTATCAGGGCCTGTCTGGGGAAGGAGCTTTTGCAGATGAGACGAATGAGGCAGAGTCACAGAGGTGACTTTGCATTGTCCAAGCAGAAAGTGGGATTAGGGCCAAGTAAAGGGACCAAGATGCAGTTTTCTGGGGAAGCCAGAGAGTGTCTATGGGGTGAGAGAAGCTGCCTTAGACAGTACTGGCCTGGATATGTCCTCTGCCAAGTGGGCATATAGATGATGGTACAGTCACTTCACATGAGGGTGAGAATGAAATGGGAGTACAGGTGTGAAATGTGGGTGGCTCACAGCTATAAGGGGTTGCCAGTACCCCCCAAGGTTAGCTCTCAGGCAGGTTCACCACAGCTGAATAATCCCATCACCCCACTGCTGGTTCTGGGTCTGGTCTGCCCCTCTCTCAAAGGGCCCCTTCCAAGCTGGGACTGTCCTGTGTGCTTGGCAGAGCTCGGTGTCATGAATCAGAGTTCCCAGCCTCTTTTCATGGCAGAGGACCCAGAGGACCCACCCCTCCACCTTTCCTCTTCTTTCTTTCTGCACAATTCTGGATATCTCATTAGGGCCTCTTGGCCTCCTGGATTTGGTGTATCCATCCATGGTCTAAAGTTGCTGGCCTCCCAGTCTTTGAAGAACAACAGTCTGAGCAAAGCATGCCTAACTGATGGGAGGTATATGATAGGAGATGAAACAGGAAGAGAAGAGGGCCAGGTGGCAGAGAGTCCTCATGTGGTCCAAATCCACCCCCTGATCCCATTCCAAGCCCCAAAACAAGAAACAACTTTCTCAGTACATGTTGGCATCTCTGCCTCCCCCTTCTGCAGTTCATCTGTGTCTGGGCCAATTCCAGCTTCCATAGTTTGTTTTGTTTGGTCAACAG